AATAAATATGTTGAAATATTAATCTAGAAAATGTATTGGTCATGCTAGGAGGAAGGCAATAGGCACATGACTGCTCCTCCATACCAAGAAAAACCAATGGATTAGGCAAACATCCTCTTACATCTGTTGGCACTTTTAGGCTTCATCTACTACAGGGGGTCTCCAAAATGTCTAAGCAAAGGGCCAGTTTACTGACCTTCAAACTCTAGGGGGGGCCGGACCATGGCCAGTGGTAGTAAAAAATGTCCTGGTGTCAGTGAGAGTAAACAATGCCCTATCTTTGTTATTGAAGGAAGAAATAGTTCCCCATCTTTGGTATTAGAAGGAATAGTGCCCTATCATTAGTGCCCCATTTTCGGCATCAGTGGCAGGAACTGTGCCCCATTGATGCTGACATGGGGGGGGGGGATAATGCCCCAAAGGCCAGGCAAAAGCAAGCAAAGAGCCACATCCAGTCCTTGAGCCACCATTTGGAGACCACTGACCTACCAGATCTGGTTTCTTGTGAGACTTTCTAGAGATAAAGCTATCCATAAAAGATATCCATGCCAATGTTCTTATGTGGATATTACTGCAAGATGTCTTAATTCTAGTAGATGTAAATGGAACTACACATCAACCTATTTGACCAGCGTTGACTCATCAGAGTGAATCTATCTTTGGTTATCTTCAAAGATCTAGGTGAATTGTATTTTTCATTGACACAAGTCTGCTAACAGCAATTCTAAAAAAAAAAATTAATAGTAGATTCTAATAGACTTTCTGTTGCAGAAGTTTTCAGCATCCAAATATCCTACTAGACTGCATTTGGCAACTGCTTCTAGCTTTAGCTTGAAATGTAACAGAATACAAATCGTTTGAGCATTCCAGACAGCTTGATTTGTATTATAGACCTTTCTGCACAAGATCCCTTTCACTTATGCAAGTTTAGTAGCAATCTAAGACAATTTTCCTATTGCTCTTTTATATTGATGGTTACCTGGTAACAAGGTATCTTCACTATATATCTTTTTCATGTTGCTGGTTTCTCTGCAGGAGTTCACTGGTTTTGCATCTATCATCGCAAAAGTCTTGATTATTCCTTGTATTTGAGAAAGAACATGTCTTTTCTCTGTCACAAGAGCTAGGAGTTTTATGAACAGGGATTGTATTCCAGATTCATCCCCTTTTTATTTAAAAAAAGGAGTAACAGGTCAACCACATAAATGCTCACGTAGATGCATTTGTCAATCTCTCCTTGTGCTTTCTTCATTGGAAAATGTATCTAAAAATTATACTCTTTTTCTTTATTTGAATCTTTGAAAAGGATAGATAGATAGATAGATAGATAGATAGATAGATAGATAAAAAGCTACCATACCCCTAAAGGAGTCACTTGATGTGTTGGGTCCTCTGTTCCTGTGCCCAATGGTGTGTAATGCAGTGGTTAATGGTTATAAAGGTATACCAGTTTAAACAACTGAAGGAATGAACTGCAACAGTCAAACACCAGAAAACATTGGTTTCTGCAATACTCAAGCAATACAGTTAATAGGCTGCAAAGCAGTGAATTCCATAGACTGCTCCTTCTTCTGAGTCCTACAATGGGTAACCATATCTAGGGGGAGGGAGAGACCTATAGGTACATACCACAGTAACAGTCAGCATCCAATAGTATACTGCGCTAGTCATTCTGCTGGTCATTCCATTGGGGCCCAAAACCTTGAATAGGAGTGCTTGGGGTAGTTTCCCTTTAAAAGCTAAGGCATGCAATGACACAGTGTTCCTTTCAGGCAGGCAACTCTGATACTCTGCTGTGAAGTTTTAGTGAAGGGGTTGGCCAGCAGCAGCAGCTCACCAGTCCTGTGCTGGCATAAGTTCCCTTCCACTGACTGTGCAATAGGGTGCTACACATATACACCCATTAGTGGAAAACCATAATAAATAAATCTATAAAACATTCAATATAAATGTGATCCAGTGGTTCCTCAGATCCCCTTGCAATTTCCACCACCAACACCGATAAAATTATCCTCTTACCAAAAGAAAAGACCTCAGAATATAAGAGATTAATTAGTGCTCAACAAATCCCAGAAGATCTTCACAGCAGTGTTTCTCAACTTTTTTCCAGTCAAGGAAATTATGAACAATCTTGAAACACCCCCTTCTAAAATGCAAAAAACTAAACGAATAGTTTTACATATAACAGCAGCATGTCCATTCGTAAGACACCCAACTTTAGAGGTTATTTATTCTTTCAAAGCAAATAGCTTTTCTTCTTCCTAATTATCTCTTCCTCACACAGCTAACGTGTCCTCAGTGCTGACAGATATGGGTGGAGGTGGTGGGGAAGGGGGGAGTCAGACAAGGATGCTGTGAAGATGTCTGTTGTCCTCCTTCTCAACCAATGACATCACCAGTTGTTAGGATGCTGATGGCTGGCCTGCGCAGTGTGTTGCACAATAAAAATCTGCAGCTTTGTGTAACAAAAATGCAGGCTTGATCCGCCAGCTGGCTTGTACACACATTTTAGGCAATTTGGGCCAATTTGTAGACATTTTGCCAAGGCACCCTTGAAGAACCCAGAATGCACCATGGTTGAAAAAGGATGCTTTACAGCATCTCATCACGGAGCTCGGGAACCACAAAGTACATCAGCAGGGATCAAATAGGATTCAGAATTCCGATAATAGACAAATAATAAAGATTCCATAGTGTAAATCCACTGCTCCATTTACTGATAAAGAAAAAAGGTGCTCACATTATAACATCAGAGCATTAGTCATTCAAACAAACTAGCCACCAGTCCAGGGGCATGATGACGTCAGCACAGGCTTTGTTGTAAAAGATGTTTTCAGTTGCAGTTCTTCTATTTCTATAGGTACATTTTATTGTAGAAGCATGTCTCTTCTGCAGTAAAGAGCCTGCCTGCTCACTTTTTTTAGGTTAAGTTCCACATTAAAGCATAGGTTAGATCCTAGTGATAGGTTTGAGAAATGTTTAATTATCACCCGTTTCCATGCAGAAAGCCTCACACCAAAAACTAACTATGCCAGGTTAAGCAACACTGAAAACAAATGTTCTGTCGATTATGATTGCACATACTAGACGTATTTGTAACATTATTTTAGGACTCAATAACAATTTGCAAAGCCATTACTGAAACTCAGTATCTGCTAATACAGATCAAGTTTACATGACTTTGTTGAATGCCAGGGTAAATTAGTCATGGTGTAGGAAAGCGGCTATTTTGCATATTGTTAACTATTCTAGAATCAGGAAACAAAAAAGAATTGAAAAATATTTCTAATGAAGAATAAAAAAGATCTCCAGGGAAAGCACAAGATGACTAATACACAGATGAAATACAAATAAGGGAGCTGGTTTAAAGCGGAGCTCCAGTCAAAATGTAAAAAATTAAAAGTCAGCAGCTACAAAAAACTGTAGCTGCTGAATTTTAAAAAACAGATACTTGCCTGTCTCTTGATCCAGTGGTATGCTCGCCGCAGCCGGTTTCACTGGCTGTCTTCTCTCCCCGACACGGGCATCTTAAGCTATGATGGGTGCCCACTGCACATGCGTGAGCTGCGGTTTGTGAATGGTCCTGTAGTCTTCTGAGACCTGTCATTTGTCCCAGAAAACTACGGAGAGGAGGGAGGGGGGGGGAGGACAACTTCCGCTTCCTGGGAGGTTGCAGCAGAAGTGGGAGCGAGTATCTGTCAATATTGGATACCTACCCTCCCTCCTCGCTCTCCAAAGGTGACAATCCTTAATGGGAAGCACAGGACAAGGCCTTAAAGTGGAACTTACCCTTTTGGGTGGAGCTCCGCTTTAACCTGGCCATGGATTTGAATTCATAAAAGTTCAGTTCTGAGGTTTACACAGCACCACCAGGTGAATGACAGCTGTACTCTTTCATAGGGCATTTGACAGGAGGCATTATGTTGCACGTACATTTAGGAGATATTCTACTGAGCTGTAGCCAATGGCATCACCAGCACATGCTCTCTGAAGTAATGGCATACCCGTGCTGTTCCTTCAGAGCTGTGGTCGAGACCCCCATGCGCATGTGCGGGAGTGACGTCATCGCGGTTCGGCCAATCAAACGGCCGCAGACCGGAAACTCAGAAAAAAGACCGAGTGAAGATGGAAGCCTCTGCAGCAGTGACAGAGTGCCTCTGGAGGGCATAGTTTTAAGGCAAGTCCTTCAAAATGTCCTACTATGCGATGCATACTAGCACATTATACCTTTGCCTTGCAGGGGATTTTTTTTTTTTTTAAGTTCGAGTTTACTATCACTTTAATGATCCTCTAATCTATTTTTTATTAAATTGTTTCTTACTGTGCTTTTGTGCCTCCTTGCAACACCCTCTGTGAGCTCACAAATTTCTTTTACTCCGCTGCACACTATACATCCTTTAGTCCATTGTCCATCTCAGGAGTGAGCAAGAGAGGGTGGCTACATTCCTACATACAGTGGGACCATAGAGAATGAACGTGGCCACCTTCTAACAGGATGTTGGATATCAGCAGAAAAACAAAAAGGAATCTAAAGATTTGGAGGAGGCTGAGAGCAATAGAAAGGAAAGGACTTTTCTGAAGTAAGAATACATACTTGAATAGAACACATTTTCAAAACCAGAGTTTAATGTCACTTTAACTCTGCTCTGTTTGAAATCAGACAAAAGTGTGAGGAATGAGAGTGCCATAAGTCTATAAATAATCCAGTAAAAATTAATTAATCTTGATAAAAGGTCAGTAGGTACAGTCAATGCATTTCCGGGACTCAAAACCTTTCATAAAGGCTTTTGCTGGCAGTGACAAGGGGAAATTCTAGACAATAAGAACAAAGATCATGGATTATAATGACAGTCTGAGTGCCAGTGTAGCCGTTTGCTACACGAGGACTGTGCCCAAATTCATATAAGCCTCCCATGGTTTTATTTGCCAATGAAATGGTCACCGTATAAATTAACATTTTACAGCATATGCAAAACAAAATTGCTCTCATTGATACAAGGTATCCCTCCTACTGACACCATTATTTCCAGTGACACCAATGATGGGGAATACTTCCTCCTACTGATATAAATGTTGGAACACTATTACTCCCACTGGCACAAAAGATGGGGCACTATTCCTCCCAGTTATACCAACACTGGGGCACTATTACGCCAACTGACACCAAATGATGGGGCACTATTCCTTCCACTGACACCAATGATGGGGTACTATTTATTCCATTGACAAAAATGATGGAATGATGGGGCACTATTCCTCTCACTGATACCAACAATGAGGCACTATTCCTCCAATTGACAACAATGATAGTGCACTATTCCTTCTACTGATATCACCAATTAGGCACTATTCCTCCAATTGACAACAGTCATAGGGCACTATTCCTCCCACTGATACCAATGATGGGGCAGTATTCCTCCCACTGATACCAATGATGGGTCACTATTCCTCCCACCGATACCAATGATGGGGCACTATTCCTCCCACCAATACCAATGATGGGGTATTATTCCTCAAACTGATGCCAATGACGGGGTACTATTCTTCAAACTGATACTAATGATAGGGCACTATTCCTCCCACTGATACCAATGGTGGGGTACTATTCCTTCAATTCACAATGATGGGGCACTATTTCTCCCAATGACGCCAACAATGGGGTACTATGCCTCCCACTGACACCAATGGTGGGGCACTGTTCCTCCCAATAATACCAATCATGGGGCACTATTCTCACCACTGACCTATGTATTTTTTGTTACTTAGTAATTGAATCATAAAGTGGTAAAATAATAAATATCAAATATCTCTTTTCCAGCATCAGCCACCTAGAAGCACAGGATCATATCTATATCTATAGTCTACAAATCTAAATAATCAAGGGGATTTTATACTCAATATCATTATTATTATTGTTATAAAAATATATATAAATAATTCATAACAAAGATTCTAAATATCAAAATATGTAAAAAAAAAAAATGACCAATAAAATATACTGTTACAACTTATATAGTTACAATGCCCAACCCCAAATCAACACATTTTGCAGATTCACCACTTCATTATGACTGGGGCATCTAGTAAATTTCATTGATCCACATAAGTTTAATTAGCAAGGTTGAACTATATGTCCCTTCAATAATTGACATGAATACCATATATCTGTCATATGCACCATTCAAGTAAGCCCAGGAGGGAAGATGTTCCAGTTAACATAGCCAGAATGTTAACAATTGCTAAGACATGGAACAGGACAAAACCAATGAAAAAAGGAAAAGGGGTGTAGCATCCTTTAGTGTGCTACTATTGTTAGTGTAGGTAAATTTATTATGGTATAACTCATGGTAACTGTGCGAGTCTGTAATTAGGTCAGGTTACTACAGGACAGGCTGGGTGACTCAGCAGGTTGGGACTATCACCTCCACCTGGTTCTGAAGGACCACTGAAGCTTCCAGAAGCCAGTGGGTGGGAGGGGTGGAGACCTAAATTTGCATATTTATGGGAGTCTGACCAATCTCAGGTTTGGAGGCCCTGGTAGTGTGGTAAAGCTAACCCATAACTATGGGAGAGGCATGCTAGCAGGGGATTCGGGTGGAAGATGGAGTGCTGAGGAGGTTGTTGGTGGCCTAGAAGGGGTTCCCTAGGTCAAGGGGGGCTTGGCCTCCAGGCTGGGCTCAGGCTGACTCAGAAAGATCCATTCAGCATCACAGCATAAACGGAATCATTGGCCTGGGAGCAGTGGGAGAAAGAAGAAGGACAGCGTGAGTGCATCACACCCAGGTATTCACAAGGGGAGAGACTGCCACACGTAGCAAGCTTTCAAAGGACAGTGTTGTGCTTAATCCTTTATCCTTGTCCCAGGAGATCTTCAGAGCAGCAAGGAGCGCTGGTAGTGTCTGCAGGCTGTGGAGCTGGAAGTTCTACGGGGGAGAGGAGATAGTTCTGTATGTAGTTGGCAACAATCGGTGATAACTTTCAGAGGGGCTGAGAGAACCTAACCTGTAAGGGGAAGTTCCTACTTATCAGTAAAGACTGGCCGCATTCAAGGAGAAGAGCAGTCTAGGATCTTTTTCTGTAAATAGTTAGGACATTGCCCCTGTGCATTAATTAAGCCCAGCTGGGCATCCCATAATCCCTTTTACTCCATCAGAGTTATTTCCCCCTAATAAAATAACAAAAACCAAGCTCATGGACTGTTCACTGACTGTGGACGCAAGTGTGGAAAATGTGCGTTGCCTGGTTGTGATATGGGTTTCTGCAGTGCTACTGACTAGCTGCATTATCCATCTAAGTCTGACCATTTTAACCACTTGTAGATCACCAGTATGTAAACTGAGTTTCCTGTCCTGAGACTGGAGTGTCCCTACATCAACATGTCATGCTCCCCACCAACACATTGACCACCAAGCCTGAGGCATTGTGTACTCCCGCTGTCGTTGGGGCTTTTTTGACTCCCAAACAGTTTGTCCTCCCTAAAGTTTGAAGGACAGTTCAGTTTTGTTTAGAAAGTTTGGAGATTAGACCACTGTCCTTTGGATTTCCTATAACTTGCTAGACTGATCGACAAGGCAGATAGGCTAAACTTCCCTAACAGAGACACAAACAGCAATAAAAACTTAATAACATTTCATCATTCTATCCAAAACAAAAAAGAACTCTTTCTAAATTATTAATTGGATCAAAGTTCTTGTTTTTTTTAGATATAAATGATGCATCCTGCCCTAAATCATCCTTCCTGCGGACGTACACTAAATACGATCATTATTTCTTCCCTCCATTATCCATATATATTCTGGCTCCATGCTTTATCATCTAGGGGTTGCAGAGACAATTAATGGCACTAACTCAAAGCAAGCAAAAAGCATGCTCAGTGCTAAAAGAAAAGATCCCTTTAGACCCATTATTTAGTAGAATAATTAATTATAGCAGTGTAACACTTTAGTATACTGCCCTTTAAATGTTAAAGTCCCTTCTGGGACGTTTGGTTAAACAGGCTCATTTAAAATGGAGGAGCAGACATTGACTTTTACCAAAAAAAAATGTTTCCCGAAAGCACTGAAAAATCTATGGATGTCAGTCTTTGCATGTCTTGTATGGATAATGGGTAATGCAGTTCATTAGACATTCCTGACAAATTACAATGTTGTAAATGTATCACACATACGGGAAAGTTATCCATATTACAGCTGGCCTTGTAGGGTAACACATCACATTCCCATTAGGTAATCTCTACTGATTATTTTCAAGTATTGAGATTTTAAAGATACTAATTCTGGAATAAAACCCATACACATTTATCTTGATATAAAACTTGTAATATTTATTTTCATAAGTTTAATATGTATTGACATTTAAAAGTATGAAAGTGTTATATCAGGCACCGTAAGGCCACCATGGTCCAACATTTTATTTACAACAGATATTTGTTATATAAAATAATCCAAATACAATCCTTCACATTATGGCTTGGCTATCCACTGCCTACACTACTAATTTGTGTAGGCTGATGAAATGGTGGGGTTTAGGCTAATTCACCGCGTTTCTTGGGTTACAGCACCCATTATATCAAGGACTGTGAAAGCTGACGCATGTATTGACCTTTTGTGTCTCAAAGTCCTGATTGTTGTTTTGTTTTACAATTACACATATACAGTATCTCACAGAAGTTATATTTACAATTTTGTAAAGATTTTATTCTATCTTTTCATGTGACAACACTTTAGAAATTACACTTTGCTACAAAGTAAAGTAGTGAGTGTACAGCTTGTATAACAGTGTAAATTTGCTGTCCCCTCAAAATAACTCAACACACAGCCATTAATGTCTAAACCGCTGGCAACAAAAGCGAGTACACCCCCTAAGTGAAAATGTCCAATCTGAGCACAATTGGCCATTTTCCCTCCCCGGTGTCATGTAACTCATTAGTGTTACAAGGTCTCAGGAGTGAATGGGGAGCAGGTGTGTTAAATTTGGTGTTATCGCTCTCACCCTCTCATACTGGTCACTGGAAGTTCAACATGGCACCTCATGGCAAAGAGCTCTCTGAGGAACAGAAAAGAAAAGAATTGTTGCTCTACATAAAGATGGCCTAGGCTATAAGAAAATTGCCAAGACCCTGAAACTGAGCTACAGCATGGTGGACAAGACCATACAGTGGTTTAACAGGACAGGTTCCACCTCGCCATGGTCAACCAAAGAAGTTGAGTGCACATGCTCAGCGTCATATCCAGAGGTTGTCTTTGGACGTATGAGTGCTGCCAGCATTGCTGCAGATGTTGAAGGGGTGGGGGTTCAGCCTGTCAGTGCTTAGACCATACGCCGCATCAAATTGGTCTGCATGGCTGTTGTCCCATAAGGAAGCCTCTTCTAAAGATGATGCACAAGAAAGCCCACAAACAGTTTGCTGAAGACAAGCAGACTAAGGACATGGATTACTGGAACCATGTCCTGTGGTCTGATGAGACCAAGATAAAATTGTTTGGTTCAGATGGTGTCAAACGTGTGTGGCAGAAACCAGGTGAGGAGCACAAAGACAAGTGTGTTTTGCCTACAGTAAAGCATGGTGGTGGGAGTGTCATGGTCTGGGGCTGCATGAGTGCTGCTGGCACTGGGGAGATACAGTTCATTGAGGGAACCACGAATGCCAAAATGTACTGACACATACCGAAGCAAAGCATGATCCCCTCTTTGTAGATTGGGCCGCAGGGCAGTATTCCAACATAATAACGACCCCAAACACACCTCCAAGACGACCACTGCCTTGCTAAAGAGGCTGAGGGTAAAGGTGATGGACTGGCCAAGGATGTCTCCAGACCTAAACCCTATTGAGCATTTGTAGGGCATCCTCAAATGGAGGGTGGAGGAGAGCAAGGTATCTAACATCCACCAGCTCCGTGATGTCATCATGGAGGAGTGGAAGAGGACTCCAGTGGCAACCTGTGAAGCTCTGGTTAACTCCATGCCCAAGAGGGTTAAGGCGGTGCTGGAAAATAATGGTGGCCACACCAAATATTGACACATTGGGCCCATTTTGACATTTTCACTTAATGGTGTACTCACTTTTGTTGCCAGCGGTGTAGACATTAATGGCTGTGTAATGAGTTATTTTGAGGGGACAGCAAATTTACACTGTTATATAAGCTGTACACTCACTACTTTGCATTGTAGCAAAGTGTAATTTCTTCAGTGTTGTCACATGAAAAGATAGAATAAAATATTTACAAAAATGTGCGGGGTGTACTCACTTCTGTGAGATACTGTATACAAATTCTGAGATAGATATATATATATATATATATATATATATATATATATATATATATATATATTATGATACATATAGTATGGCCAATTAAATACATGGTATTTAAATTTAACTGAACATGTATGTTTTTGATGCTAATCACATAGTGGGGTACAGGACAATTCAATGCATTTTGTAGGGTAAGATATCCACATCATCAAGGACTACTACCCATATAACTGAATTCTTGTATGGTGGGGT